GCATCAGCCCGGCCCCAGCGGAGCGGGAGAAGGTGTCCGCCCTCGTCTCCTGCCTCTCGTGGAAAGCCCTGGAGTGGGCCAACGCGGTCTGGAACGAAGGAGGAGCCGCGTTGGACAACTACGGGGAGTTCGCTCGCCTCTTTCGGGCTGTCTTCGATCACCCACCCGAAGGTCGAGAGGCGGGCTAGCGGCTGGTCCACCTGAGGCAGGGGACGAGGACTGCGCAGGACTTCACCTTAGAGTTTTGGACTTTAGCAGCTGGGTCCAGGTGGAATAAGCGGGCCCTTATCGACCACTTCTATTGCCATCTGCGGAAAGACGTCCGAAGGGAGCTAGCCTGCCGGGACACCATGTTGTCCTTCACGCAGCTGGTGGACATGGCCATCCGTTTGGACAACCTGTTGGCGGCCAGAGGACGTCCTGGAGGGGGTCTGCCCGTTCCAACCCTGGCCGACTCGGATCACGAACTGATGGAGCTGGGTGGAGCCGCGATCTGAGAGAGTGGAGGACGACAGCGCCAGTGTAACTCTGGTGGCACGAAGGGACATTACACCGCACAATGTCGTCAGCGTTCTTTTGGGTCTGGAGGTGGCAGGCAGGGCACTCTCGCATCAACCCAGGTATCGAACACCCACACTTGTTCAGAGCCCTCTGCTGTGTACTGTACCCTACCCATCCACTTTCCTGATCACATTGTAGTTCCCCAGTGTAAGGCGTTAGTCGATTCAGGCACAGCTGGGAACTTTATGGACAGGGGATTCTCACACAGTCTAGGCATTTCATTGGTTCCCCTATCTATTCCACTCCCCATCAGAGCACTTGACAGTCGACCATTAGGGTCCAGGTTTGTTAGGGAAGTTACCGCACCAATCACCATGATTACCCACGAGACTCATTGCGAGCAAGTCATGTTTTTTATAATTAAGTCTCCTGCTTTCCCTGTGGTACTAGGTATCCCTTGGTTAGCACTCCACAACCCCACATTCTCATGGCCGCACAGGGTTCTCACGGGGTGGTCGCGAGAGTGTCAGGGTAGGTGTCTCGGTGTTTCCGTTTGTGCAACCACGGTGGAAAGTCCAGACAGTACCTCCACCGTGCGCATTCCCCCTGAATACCTCTATTTGGCGCACGCGCTTTCCAAAACACAGGCAACCAAGTTACCACCTCATCGGGCGGGGGATTGCGCGATAAACCTCAGGGTAGACGCTGTGCCTCCCAGGAGTCATGTGTATCCCCTGTCACAGGCTGAAACGGAGGCTATGGAAACATACGTCACCGAGTCCCTGCGCCAGGGGTTTACACGTCCCTCCACTTCAACCGCCTTCTCTAGGTTTTTTTTTGTGAAGAAGAAAGACGGCGGTCTGCATCCTTGCATTGATTATCGATCACTGAACAAGGAGACAAAACGATTTAGTTATCCTCTCCCCCTCATTCCTTCAGTGATCGAGTCAATGCTTGGGGCGCGCTTCTTCACCAAATTAGATCTCCAGAGTGCGTACAACCTGGTGCGTGTCCGAGAGGGGGATGAGTGGAAGACAGCATTCAGCACAACAACGGGGCATTATGAATACCTGGTGATGCCCTACGGTTTGATGAATGCTCCATCCGTCTTCCAGTCCTTTGTGAACGAGGTGTTTCGGGACATGCTTGGTTGCGGTGTAGTGATCTACATCGATTACATTTTGGTGTATTCCACTACGCGCGCCGAGCATGTGTCCCTGGTTCGCAAAGTGCTGGCCCGACCGTTGGAAAATGACCTTTATGCCAAGGCAGAAAAGTGTATGTTTTTTTTCCAGCAGTCCGTCTCCTTCCTCGGATACCGCATTACCACCTCAGGTGTGGAGATGGAGGGAGATCGCATTTCAGCCGTGCGTAATTGGCCGACTCCAACCACGGTTAAGGAGGTGCAGCGCTTTATTGGCTTCGCCAACTACTATCGGAGGATTATCCGGGGCTTTGGCAAGGTCGCAGCTCCCATTACATCTCTGTTGAAGGGTGGGCCGTCCCGGCTCCGCTGGTCTGCTGAGGCTGACAGGGCCTTCAGTAACCTGAGGGGTCTGTTCACCTCAGCCCCGGTACTGGCCCACCCCGATCCATCTCTATCGTTTGTAGTGGAGGTGGATGCGTCCGAGGTAGGGATAGGCGCTGTCCTATCTCAACGCTCGGGCACGCCACCCAAGCTCCGCCCCTGTGCCTTCTTCTCTAAGAAGCTCAGCCCGGCGGAGCAGAACTACGACGTTGGTGATCGGGAGCTGTTGGCTGTTGTCCGAGCCCTGACCGTGTGGAGGCATTGGCTCGAAGGGGCGAAACACCCTTTCCTCGTCTGGACGGACCACTGTAACCTGGAGTTCATCCGAGCAGCGAGGATGCTGAATCCTCGCCAGGCCAGGTGGGCCCTATTCTTCACCTGGTTTGATTTCACACTATCATACATCCCGGGTACGAAGAACGTGAAGGCAGACGCATTGTCACAGCTGTATGACACAGAGGAGAGGCCCAGAGACAACACCCCTATACTCCCGGCCTCCTGCATTGTGGTGCCGGTAGTATGGGCGATGGACATGGATATAGAGCAGGCGTTACGCACAGAACCATCTCCACCTCAGTGTCCAGCTGGGCTGCTGTACGTGCCTACTGGGCACACACGTCACCCTCCTCTGGTCACCCAGGTATCGGTTGTACAGTGCGCTGCCTGACCGGAAAGTACTGGTGGCCTACCTTGGCTAAGGACGTGAGGGTGTATGTCTCCTCCTGCTCGGTGTGCGCCCAGAGTAAGGCATCTAGGCACCTACCAGCGGGTAAGTTACAACCTTTACCAATTCCACAATGACCATGGTCTCACCTGAGTGTTGATTTCCTTACCGGTTCTTCCCCTCTCCCAAGGTAACACCACCATCCTGGTCGTTGTGGACCGTTTTTCCAAGTCCTGTCGCCTCCTTCCTCAGCCCAGTCTCTCCACGGCCCTGCAAACTGCAGAGGCCCTGTTTACACACGTCTTCCGGCACTACGGGGTACCAGAAGATATAGTGTCTGACCGGGGTCCCCAGTTCACATCCAAGGTCTGGAAGGCGTTCATGGAACGTTTGGGGGTCTCGGTCAGCCTGACCTCTGGTTTCCACCCCGAGTCTAATGGGCAGGTGGAACGGGTAAATCAGGATGTAGGTAGGTTCCTGCGGTCCTACTGCCAGGACCGGCCGGGGGAGTGGTCGGTGTTCTTGCCATGGGCCGAATATGCCCAGAACTCTCTCCATCACTCCTCCACTAACCCAACGCCATTCCAATGTGTTTTAGGTTACCAAACCGTGGCACCAGAGCCAGACTGAGGCTCCTGTGGTGGATGACTGGTTTCAGCGCGCCGTGCGTCGTCAGAAGGCCAACGCTGACCGCCACCGCTGTGAGTCCCCGGTCTTCGTACCGGGTGATCGGGTCTGGCTCTCGACCCGGAATCTGCCCCTCCGCCTGCCCTGTCGGAAGCTGAGCCCGCGGTTTGTGGGGCCGTTCAAAGTCCTGAGGAGAATCAACGAGGTTACCTATAGGTTATTACTCCCCCATGATTACCGTATTAACCCCTCGTTTCATGTGTCTCTCCTCAGGCCGGTGGTGGCTGGTCCACTCCAGGAGTCTGAGGTGCGGGAGGTCCCTCCGCCTGGAGGGGGCCCCGGCGTACTCCGTCCGTTCCATCCTGGATTCTAGGCGTCAGGTTGGGGGCCTTCAGTACCTCGTGGAGTGTGAGGGGTACGGTCCGGATGAACGGTGCTGGGTCCCGGTGAGGGATCCCTCCCTGTTGCAGGATTTCCACCATCGCTATCCGGCTCGCCCTGCTCCGCGTCCTCCTGGCCGTTGCCGGGGTCTGCTCGCTGCTGGAGCTGCGCGTCAAGGGGGGGTACTGTCACGACTTCCTCCGAAGCTGCCTCCCCTTCATGTTCGGGCAGGCTTCGGCGTTCGTCGTCACCGGCCTTCTAGCCACTGCCGCTCCATATCTCATCGTTCCATTTGTCTTGTCTTGTCAATTACACACACCTGGTTCATATTCCCCTCATTAGTACGTTTTTAAGTGTTCCCTCTGCCCCCCTTGTCCTTGTGGGTGATTGTTCATTGTGAGGATTAGTAGCTCAGTTGAGCTCAGTATTTTGTATTGCCGGGGTATTTTCCCCGTGTGCATGTTTGTTCCAGTGCGCCTGGACTGGACTGGTTACGCTGGATTACGGAATAAACTCTGTATACTGTGATTTACCCTCCTGTGCCTGACTCCTTCAAATCACGCATCACACAGCTTTTCATTTTTTATTGATTTGTAACTATTTCGAAAAACATAATTCCACTTTGATTTTATGGGGTATTGTGTGTAGGCCAGTGACAAAACATCTAAATTTAACCCATTTAAATTCCGTCTGTAATGCAACAAAATTTGGAAAAAGTCAAGGGGTGTTAATACTTTCTGAAGGCACTGCGCCTGAGAGTGCCAGAGAGAGAACATACTTTTTATTTGTCTGAACTGCAGTGTTGCTGCAACAAGAAGCTGAATTGCAGGTATTGTTACAATGATACAATTATCAGAAATATCAAAACATGTTATAACATCTATCATTGTGTCCTTTATTGTTCATGTCTCCAGTGAATTATTTCTGTAAAACTCATAGATTTTCTGAGTTTATTGCACCACTTAGTGGCCACATTGGGAACACTGACTGTTTTTGAGTACTTCCCATACTTCTCTTCCCATCCTCTTACATCTGGGGTGTATTCACTAAGAACCAAACGGAGGCCATTCTTTGTCCAAAAAGAATTGCTTGTTTTTGTTGCAAAACAGTTTGTTACGGTGTGGACTAATACATAATCGCTGTTACTCTTATTTAGAGTGTGAGTCTGGAGGGGGGTTGGGCAGGGGGTGGGGACAGTAGTTGGGGAGAGGGGTTAGTTGTTTTTCAAGAGCAGTCATGTTTCTCTGAGTGGGGTCCTTTTATAAAGCCTTTGGTTTATGAAACAATTCTGAGCAGCACTGTAGGAATGACAATTAAGGTACTGTTACTGAATACACTTGTTTTCAATTAAACAATATTTTGAAATGTATTGAAACCACATACATATGCTTGAAAGATATGAACTTGTCATTGGTAATAGCAAATTTTACAGCCATACAATTGCAGTGCAGAAAACAACAACATTTAAATGTAGCTATCTTCTTTGGCCTCCCACCATAATAAAACAAACTGTGCTTATCTATCTATGTCTCTGTCTAACAAAGCTGAGGACACACATACACAGTGCTTTTGTTCGTGCTGGGGTCCTGAGTGCTGGGGTTCAGAGCAGGCAGGCAGCTGAGCCCAGTCTTGCAGTCTTGTGCATTCTCAGGGACGTGCCTGGAGTGGACAAATCATGCTCATTGGGTGGGAGAGGGACTCAGCGCTGTACCCAAGATGAAGGAGGAGAGGAGGAAGACTTCCTTGAAAGAAGACACAGCCATTCCTTCGCTATTTTCACTCTTCGGCCTCCTCCTTCTTTTCCAGGCAGGTAAGTGAACCCTTTCAAACTTCATGACTTACTTTTTGGGAAACACAATGTGGTAAAGAACTAGTGGCTGAATCAGGAATGAATAGATCGTTTGAATGAATAGATATGTGACTATATTGGCAAATATGTTTATCACATTGTAGTCAGGTAATATGTGATAAGGCGATCAAGTAGAGATATTTGAGATTTACACAGCTGTCCTATTTCAATTCACAAATTATTTTTACATTGTTTTGTTAGCAAATTCATTTGAAAATGTATTTGGTTTATAATACATCATTTGGTTGTGACCATTGTTCCTTTATGTACTTTATCAATTAATTAAATACTATGTTAAAGTAAGCTAAGTGCTGTACAACATATTTAATTGGCCCAGGCAGTGTAAATTGTTTTGTCCTGGAGTACCCTCTGTGTGGATTAGCTCCAAGGCACAGGTCTATTCAGCCATACAGCTGTAGTGAAAAGAGCCTGGGTGAGCTGAGCTGTTGTTGGGATGTAAATGGGGGAAGCATAGGTTAAGCATTATGATATTACGAGAAGAGGTTTTGGGGGACTTGGAGTTGGAGTTGGAGCCCAGGCGAGGCAGTGGTTGGGGTTTCTCTGCATTAGGAGCCTGGCTCAGCCTGCTTCTGCTGTGTGGCTGTGTGTTGTGTCATTGTGACCATCCACTACTAGCAGAATCACTGAACCCTTGTGTCTCCTGCTTCTACAATCACAAAGAGCATGTCTCTCCCAGTGGCCTTTTATACCACGGGAGGGAGGAAATCAGTCCAACAATCCTGGCCTTTGTCCCCCCCCCCCCCCCCCCCCCCCCCCGACAACCTCCTTCAGGCTGAAAATTGTTGCCACGACGATCAAGCGATGCCACGCATACACGCTACAGGGAGCAGAGCTGTGGCCGAGGAGGGTCGGTGCCAGACGCTCTCTCTCTCTCTCTCTATTGCTCCAGCATGACATGCAACAGCCCATCCGTTAGGTACAACGCCCATCAGTGGCTCTAGCCAATGGCTACATGTGGTCGAGGATGTGGTGACTTAATGGAAACTCCACTGTGAGTATAATGGCGTTACTGTGTGTGGTTTCCAGGGCAGAACGAGACTCTAAAGGATTATATGTGGGTTATGTTGTAAACCATCCTCCTGTATGCTCAAGGGGGATCCATTAATGGTACACAAATCAAAACAGATGTAATATGTTGGCCTTATTTGGAGAGGTCCTGTCCTGTTATTGCATTTTCACTGAATGATTGACTGTGGTAAAAATGAGGAGGTTCGAGGGCGCCGTTTTCACTTGTAGATTTAACTGGATTTTGAGTAGTCTTGATTTCAAAAGTCTGCTTTCAAGAATAAAAGTTAGATCTACTCCTGGACTAATTTAGGGAATGGAGTGAAAAATATAGGCCCATATCTGACTTTATTTCATACTGTATATCTCTGAACGCATATAAAGACAAAATACCTTATAAAGACATTAGGACCTTATACTAGAGCAGATCACTCTGCTTGTAGTGAACGTGGTTACGGTAATCAACCACTTACAGCCATCAAATCGTCCTGCACGCATGCGATCACTATATCCTGCACTGTATGGTCTGCCACAGTGTTCACTGAACGTCATGTGTTGGGCTGTGTCCATGTAGTCAGAGTAGCTGGCGTCAACATCACCAGTCAGGCTCATCTGGTCCGAGGCACGTTGGGTGGCGAGGCCCTCCTCTCCGTCAGCTACACCAGCACCAGCTCCGACCAACCGGTCATCAAGTGGCAGCTGAAGAGGGACAAGCAGCAGCCCGTCACCGTAGTCCAGTCCATAGGCACCAGCATCATCGGGAACCTGAGGACCGAGTACAGGGACCGTATCATGGTGTTTGAGAACGGGACCTTGCTCCTCCACAACCTGCAGCTGTCTGACGAGGGGGCCTATGAAGTGGAGATCTCCATAACGGATGATGCCTTCACTGCGGAGCGCAACATCAACCTCACCGTAGATGGTAGGAAGGTTTCCTCTGTAGCTCATTTTCATAGAGCATGGCGCTTGCAACGCCAGGATAGTGGCTTCTATTCCCAGGACCACCCATACATACACTGTATGTAGAATATTTAGGCACGCATGACTGTAAGCCGCTTTGGATAAAAGCGTCTGCTAAATGGCAAATTTAGTTACTATTTCAGTGATTGATATTGTATTTACAATACGGCTCAGGCTACCATATAAAATGAACAGTCCAACAACTGACCAACTATTGACCGTAGTGACCTTAGTGAATTTACATCACACAATGCTATTCCAGACAGAGGTGTAAGGCTAAAAAGTGTGGTCACACTTTAAACAAAGTTTATCTAATAGCAGCCTTTAGAAGTTATTTCTAAGGCCTACTTTAAAAAGTACCCAGCTTGTTATTTCTTCACAAATCGTTTACTGGTATAAGCATACTATGTAAACAGTGGAATACGGGTTTATATAGTCACCTGTAGTGAATCTATTTGACATGTTGTGTATTGACCCCACAGTACCTGTGTCCAGACCCCACGTCCAAATGATAGCCTCCTCTGTGCTGGAGTTGAGTGAACTCTTCACCTTACACTGTTCCCACGGCGATGGCACCAAGCCCACCTATGGCTGGCTGAAAGGGGGCAAGGTGCTGACCAATGACTCGCGCCTGCGCCTGTCACATGACCAGAAGTATCTGACCATCGCCCGAGTGCTGATGTCAGACGATGACATCTACAGCTGTACAGTGGATAACCCAATCAGTAGCATGAGGAGTGTGCCTGTCAAACTCACTGTCTACAGTAAGTAGAACTACTTGCTCCTTAGTAAGCATATTTATCTTGATTGCTTCAACATGTACCTGTCAGAGAAAGGTTGAGATACAAGTTCATTATCAAGAAACCTAATTGATACAAGCTTAGAGGGACAGCCGTGGAACATGCAGACTGCAGCGAGAGAGAGAGAGAGAGAGAGAGAGAGAGAGAGAGAGAGAGAGAGAGAGAGAGAGAGAGAGAGAGAGAGAGAGAGAATAATCCAGTGAAAAGCATGAGTTATTTATGAGGGCCAGTAGATAAAGGAAGCCGGTGGAGCTGAGGTCTTGCCTCAGTGGAGCACACTAATCCTTACTTCATTATTCCCCTACTGAGACAAGGGCTGTGTACCAAATGACACTCTATTCCCTTTATAGTGCACTACTATTGACCATGATCCATAGGGCTCTGGTCAAAAGTAGTGCACTATATAGGGAATGTGGTGCCATTTGGGACGCTACCACAGAGCGACGAGAGATCAGCTAGCCCAGTAAGGGTCCTGTATTCCCTCCGTACATACAGCCCTGTACAAAGTCTCAAAGCAGACCCTTTCAATCGTAGCTTTCACACACAGACCTGGCTGGCACAGCTAGTGCTGGAAAGCCTGGTTGCAGATCTGTTTGTGCTGTCTTGCCAACTCCTATCGTCATTGTTGCGCCAAAAGTTGGCAAAACAGCACAAATAGATCCAGTACCAGGCTAGGAGAACCTAGCATTTTTACGCATTCTGGAACGGTTCCATTTTATTAGATGTTATTGGGGCCTCCACTAAAAGTTCTACAGTGGAGTGTGTAAAGACAGGCCTATAGTAGAGAAAGAGGAGAGTGTAGCTAATTTCCAGAGCCCGAGAGGTGACATCTTTGTCCAGTCCGAGTGGACTCTTTGCTTGTACAGTGGTGAAGTGTTTGCGGTGTGTAAGAACGGGCTACTCTGTTGACCATAGGCTTCATTCCTTTGCTAGGACGGAGTTCCCTGTATATCATTCTTTCCACCGGGGGCATTTTCCTCCTCATCACCCTGGTGACTGTGTGTGCCTGCTGGAAGCCCTCCAAAAAGTAAGAGCTCCACATTGTGCCTCCATCTCCCTATTTGCTTTGATATGTCTCAAGGACCAGAACTAAGCACTGGGCAAGGAGCAGGCGGCTAGATTTGTAATGCCCTGGCCTAGCTCTCTACTACTCTGCAGTCCTGCAGGCGCATGTCCAATGTTACACTAACGTTCTGACACTGATAGCATCATGTGGGAGGGATTCTATGTCTGTTGTTTACAATGCAATGATAATGGTATCCCACTAGCCTGGTGCCAGAACTATTTGTGCTGTATAGCCTACTCCTATGGTTGTTGTCAATGTTGTGGCTATACAGCACAAACAGATCTGGGACCAGGCTAGAATTACACTGCAGTATTGCAGTATTTTTGTTCTCGAGGAGACAGAATGTAAATGGGCCACTGCATGAGTATACATGTGTAACACTCATCTCCTATCTGTCTATCATTGGGGTTAAGAAAGAAGCGGCGGGCTGACATGGCAGCCATGTTGCAGAGATCTCCAGTATATGTAGAGAGGAGTGACATCAGTCAGGACGGTAAGGGGAGAGAGGGATGTGAGCTGTGTTTTTTGAATGTGTGATATTCTTTGTTCCCCACACTAATTATTACGTTTATTTATTGTTTCTATTTCAGATATTTGAATGCAAACCTTTTTAGATGGATAGATTTCACGGCAAAGTTTTTGCAGAGTAGGTCTACACCACAGGAAGCTGCTAAGGGGAGGATGGCTCATAGTAATGGCTGGAATGGAGTAAATGGAATGGTATCAGACACATGGTAACCATGGAAACCACGTGTTTGATGTGTTCGATACCATTCAATTTATTCCGTTCCAGCCATTACTATGAGCTGGTCCTCCCCAATTAAGGTGCCACCAGCCACCTGTGGCCTACACACATTGCTCAGTTTGTACAGTTGTTCACACATTCTTTCATTTGCAGTTGATATGGTGCCAAAAACAATAGCCCATGGGACACATGGCCGTAGGAGCCCAATGGCTCTTTACGTTGTCAATGAAGATGTAAGTCACTGATTTTTCAATTACTAAAGACTAGTTTATTTTCAAGAATGTCGCTAGTTTTCCATTATTTTTTCTGCTTAACTCTATTCCTTCATTGTTGTTGCAGGACAGTCTCGAAGGTGAGGACGAGTGTTCAGCCAACTCCATCAGCCCCTCAGACCTCGCCCTGCCCGGTTACCCCAGCCCCCTCCCACCGTCCTCCCACTCACCCGAGGCACCCACCCGGACCGTCCGCAAATACCCTCGTACCCCTGTGCCCTCACCCCCTGCCACCCCACTCAAGCCCCCTGGCCAGCCACTTGTCATATCCTCAGCTCCACCCCCTGGTTCACCTCCACATGTCCAGAGCTCAGGGCGTAAACTCCGCCCTCCTGTGGGCATCCCCACCAATCAACAGACAGATGAGCCCCCGGCCACCCCAAAGGCCGACAACCAGGATTAATGTCTGAATGACCACTCACCTATCACTGCTTCCACTGTAGAATTCATCCACATCTAACCATGGACATGTGTGTCGCTTATCTTGTCTGTTTAGTTGGGTTTTGGTGTAAAGATATTTGTTACACCAGGATCAACTGCTCTGATCATGGCTTCCCTATACCCCTGGAGAAATGGTACGTTGCTATTTCTTCCCACCAAGGTTTAAAAACATGCAACATCATTCATACTGCACAACTCCTCTCTGCTGTGGTGACAATGATAGTCAGAGGAGTGAACTACAACACATACAAATCTGGGACCAGGCTAACCCCCATGGCTATTCTGATGAACTCATGCGACACACATTTCTAGTACAGTATCCACCAATGATTTTTTTTCTCCTACTGAGGTCTTTGGGAAGTCAATGTATGGCAGTTGCCACATGGTAAGGGGCAAGGGGGATGTAAGTAGCCACAGTCAATTTACACTGGGATCTTGATATGTTACAGTATTACTTTAAAATTAGGGTAATGATAATGTGTGGACATTTGAGGAGTGCAATTTGTTTGATTTTCTACTTCCAGTAAAGATAATGGGGAAGTGGGGTTCACAGAAACTGCCGTCCTAAGCCTTGGACTCATTATGTACATATGTCAATAGTGTATGTAATGTTCTTAGAATTGTTTTTGGGACCTTTTACCTCCAAATACATTTTTTCAAATAACATTTAATCCTAAAACTGTGTTTCTATTCCATGTTTCAAAATGAAGTATGACATTTTATAACCTAAAAAATGGAACAATAAATGTTATGTTGGAAAATGCCTCTACCATAAAATAGTTTTACTTTTACCTGTATACCAGCATAAAAACTGTTACTCTATTCAATACTGTGAGACGTGTAATATGTAAGACTTTTATTATGAAATGTATTAATACCTGTATTCTAATTGGTTCCTCCTGTAAGGGCTTCTGGGTAGAAGATTCAGTTGTCATGATGTAGTGTGTGGGCGTGTTGCTATTCCCCTCTCCCCTTTTTATTCATTTATTTCACCTGATAAGTTATGCAGTCTCAACATTAAGTTTGCAGTCTAATGCACTAAGAGTCCCATCATTAAGTTTGCAGTCTAATACCATGATGATAGCACATTGTGTCAGTTTCTTCAACTGCAAGACCTACAACCCCACAGATTTACAGAAGCATACAGTATGTGGCCAGGAGCTGCATGCCAGACTGCAAGTCCTTCTTGTGTCCAGTAGGTGATGCCCAAGCAACAGCTGAATGTTTGATGGATTTTATTTTATTAGGATCCCTTTCAGCCCACAAAGGGCTAGTCTTCCAATAGTCCTTAAGAAATGTACAAAAATATATACAGAACATTTGAAAAACAACAATCTAAGTAAAAACACAATACACACAAACACAGATACAAATCCCTAATACCTTTACATATTACAAGTTACTGTTGAGAGTTAGAATAGTAGAATACTATCGAAATTTTATCTTGTTTTGTCAGTCACTGTAATGTGGTGATTTGAAGGAGTCAGGCACAGGAGGGTAAATCACAGAATAACAGGATTTATTCCGGAATACCGTTATTCACTCTCACTCAGATACTGTATCATTAACATGGCATAAGTCATTGCAAAATGTGTAGATTTGCAGGAAATTAGCTTTAAAACTGAAAAAATGCCTCTCTGCCCCATGGCAAAAATGAGTAGAATTGCATTAAATTTGTTATAAAATTGGGAAAGGTTCTCTCTACCCCATTAAATTTTTTTTAGAACTGCAGAAAACTTGCTTTAAAACTACAAAAATGTCTCTCTGCTCCATGGCAAAATAAATAGAATTGCATGAAATGTTTTATAAAATTGCAACATTTTCTCTCCACCTCATGGCAAAATGTGTAGAATTGCAGGACATTTTATTTAAAAAGTACATTTTTCACTCTGCCGTCAAGAGGGGGGCCACTAAAAATGTTTGCCCGCTTGTTGAGTGGGCCCTGACTAACCTTCAGAACTTCACAACACACAATTGCACAGACATGCGGTCAATGGCTCCGTAATGCCCAGGAACAGACCATTACAACGCTCTTTACACTAGCAACTGATTATCGACAAAGATTCTGGGCAAATAACAATTCAGAGAAAAATTGTGACTTAACAGTTAATAGTCTTTATGCAATGTGTCATTAACGTGAATTGTTGTTGCCGTTGATGTTGCTATTGTAATTTTGACCAGTGTCCCTCCTCTTTATAGAAATGGCCCCTTGGCAAAACGATACTCCTGAATTACCTACAGGACAGTATCTGTGCTTGATGTATCCGATAGCTACAGAGGAGGACAAAGAGGAAGATAAATAAGAGTCTTTCACCCTCCAGACATGAGGACACAAAATTATGAAGGATGTGGAGAAAGAAGAGAGAAAGGAGAGAGAAAGGAGAGAGAGAGAGGGGGGTTCAAGGGAGAGAGAGTGGGGGGGATAAAGAGAGAGGGATGGGGAGAAGGAGATAGAGGGAGAGAGAGGGGGAGCAAGAGAGAGAGAGAGAGAGTGAGAGAGCCCACCTTCGTCCCGGACTCTAAAGGATATCGCCCTCAACCGCAGACCCAACACCTCACACAGGAGCAACAGATCAACAGACACCCCGCCCAGACCAGCAAGACACTCTCCCAGACCAGCAGGACCCCCCACCGGACCTACACATAGAGGACCAATGCTGAGAGGACCTACATCCAGACCACAGCACCACCAGCCACATCAAATAAAATGTTATTTGCCACATGCGCCGAATACAACAGGTGTAGACATTACCGTGAAATGCTTACTTACAACCCTTAACCAACAATGCATTTCTTTTTTAATAAAAAAGTAAAATAAAACAACAACAACCAAAAAGTGTTGAGAAAAAAAGAGCAGAAGTAAAATAAAATAACATAGGGAGGCTATATATACAGGGGGGTACCGGTGCAGAGTCAATGTGCGGGGGCACTGGCTAGTTGAGGTAGTTGAGGTAATATGTACATGTGGGTAGAGTTAAAGTGACTTTGCATAAATAATTAACAGAGTAGCAGCAGCGTAAAAATAAGGGGTGGGGGTGGGGGGGCAGTGCAAGTAGTCTGGGTAGCCATGATTAGCTGTTCAGGAGTTTTATGGCTTGGGGGTAGAAGCTGTTGAGAAGCCTTTTGGACCTAGACTTGGCGCTCCGGTACCGCTTGCCGTGCGGTAGCAGAGAGAACAGTTTATGTCTAGGCTGACACCACCTGGTATAGAGGTCCTAGATGGCAGGAAGCTTGGCCCCAGTGATGTACTGGGCCGTACGCACTACCCTCTGTAGTGCCTTGCGGTCGGAGGCCGAGCAGTTGCCATACCAGGCGGTGATGCAACCAGTCAGGATGCTCTCGATGGTGCAGCTGTATAACTTTTTGAGGACCTGAGGACCCATTCCAAATCTTTTCAGTCTCCTGAGGGGGAATAGGCTTTGTCGTGCCCTCTTCACGACTGTCTTGGTGTGTTTGGACCATGATAGTTTGTTGGTGATGTGGACACCAAGGAACTTGAAGCTCTCAACCTGTTCCACTACCGCCCCGTCGATGAGAATGGGGGCGTGCTCAGTCCTCTTTCTTTTCCTGTAGTCCACAATCATCTCCTTTGTCTTGGTCACGTTGGGGGAGAAATTGTTATCCTGGCACCACACGGCCAGGTCTCTGACCTCCTCCCTATAGGCTGTCTCATCGTTGTCGGTGATCAGTCCTACCACTGTTGTGTTGTCGGCAAACTTAATGATGGTGTTGGAGTCATGCTTGGCCATGCAGTCATGGGTGAACAGGGAGTACAGGAGGGGACTGAGCACGCACCCCTGAGGGGCCCCCGTGTTGAGGATCAGCGTGGCAGATGTGTTGTTACCTACCCTTACCACCTGGGGGCGGCCCGTCAGGAAGTCCAGGATCCAGTAGCAGAGGGAGGTGTTTAGTCCCAGGATCCTTAGCTTAGTGATGATCTTTGAGGGCACTATGGTGTTGAACGCTGAGCTGTAGTCAATGAATAGCATTCTCACTTAGGTGTTCCTCTTGTCCAGGTGGGAAAGGGCAGTGTGGAGTGCAATAGAGATTGCATCATCTGTGGATCTGTTGGGGCGGTATGCAAATTGGAGTGGGTCTAGGGTTTCTGGGATAATGGTGTTGATGTGAGCCATGACGAACCTTTCAAAGCACTTCATGGCTACAGACGTCAGTGCTACGGGTCAGTAGTCATTTAGGCAGGTTATCTTAGTGTCCTTGGGAACCAGTGACTCGGTTAATAAAAAAGTTGTCAGATGACGCAGATGCTAAGCTACAGGACTGTTTTGCTAGCACAGACTGGAACATGTTCCTGGATTCTTCAGATAGCATTGAGGAGTACACCACATCAGTCACTGGCTTCATCAATAAGTGCATCGATGATGTCGTCCCCACAGTGACCGTACGTACATACCCCAACCAGAAGCCATGGATTACAGGCAACAGCCGCACTGAGCGAAAGGGTAGAGCTGCCGCTTTCAAGGAGCGGGACTCTAACATGGACGCTTATAAGAAATCCCGCTATGCCCTCCGACGAACCATTAAACAGGTAAAGAGTCAATACAGGACTAAGATTGAATCGTACTACACCGGCTCTGACACTCGTTGGATGTGGCAGGGCTTGAAAACTATTACAGACTACAAAGGGAAGCACAGCCGCGAGCTGCCCAGTGACACAAGACTTCCAGACGAGCTAAACCACTTCTATGCTCGCTTCGAGGCAAGCAACACTGAAGCATGCATGAGAGCACCAGCTGTTCCGGATGACTATGTGATCACGCTCTCCATAGCCGATGTGAGTAAGACTTTTAAGCAGGTCAACATTCACAAGGCCGCAGGGCCAGATGGATTACCAGGACGTGTACTCCGAGCATGTGCTGACCAACTGGCAAGTGTCTTCACTGACATTTTTAACATGTCCCTGACTGAGTCTGTAATACCAACATGTTTCAAGCAGACCACCATAGTCCTTCATACCACCATAGTCCACCACCATGTTCAGACTCAGTGAGCATAGCCTTGCTATTGAGAAAGGCCGCCGTAGGCAGACCTGGCTCGCAAGAGAAGACAGGCTATGTGCACACTTTCCACAAAATGAGGTGGAAACTGAGCTGCACTTCCTAACCTCCTGCCAAATGTATGACCGTATTAGAGACACATATTTCCCTCAGATTGCACAGATCCACAAAGAATTTGAAAACAAACACAATTTTGATAAACTCCCTTATCTACTAGGTGAAATACCACAGTGTGCCATCACAGCAGCAAGATTTGTGACCTGTTGCCACTAGAATAGGGCAACCAGTGAAGAACAAACACCATTGTAAATACAACCCATATTTATGTTTATTTATTTTCCCATTTGTATTTTAACTATTTGCACATTGGTACAACACTGTATATATACATAATATGACATTTGAAATGTCTTTATTCTTTTGGAACTTCTGAGTGTAATATTTACTGTTAATTTGTATTGTTTATTTAACTTTTGTTTACTGTCTACTTCACTTGCTTTGGCAATGTTAACATACGTTTCCCATGCCAATAAAGCCCTTAAATTGAATTGAATTGAGAGAGAGAGAGAGAGCGAGAGAGAGAGAGAGAGAGAGAGAGAGAGCGAGAGAGAGCGAGAGAGAGAGAGAGAGAGAGAGAGAGAGAGAGAGAGAGAGAGAGAGAGAGAGAGAGAGAGAGAGAGAAAGAGAGAGAGAGGTTGGTGCCCATGTTCCATCCTTATTATCAGGTTAATGGCTTCTACTCAGATCTCTAGCTGTACGTCTTTTATCATGAAAATCGGACCGCACGTTGCACGTTGTCGCCTTTGCCCTGTTGATTCTGCCTCCTTGATTACCCAAAAAATTTGTGATGCTCCTTTCTCTCAAGTTACATAAGCATTGAAAATATATCTGATTTTGTTCTCAGCTCCATTGTTCCTATTCCATTTTTAAAGATAATTTGGCTCCAGCCACACAACACTTGAGGCGACTGAACTGGACTGGCACAATATAATATTGTAAGAAAATACAGAAGAGTGGATCTGTTTGATTGAGTTTAATGTTTTGGAAAATGATCTTTGATCTACGCAGCCATCTCTCATCTCTCGCATTTGTCTGAGCTCTCAATCTGCCTTTCTGCCTTCTCTGTCTCTCCCACTCAGGTGATGTGTACTCCAGGCCTGTACTTATACCTTAGGGATAGGTTGGCCACAGCAGCTATGTTTGTGTGGCTCTATCTGGCTTGTGTTGTGTTGAGGAGTCAGTCAGTCAGTCACATATCAGGCCCTGTGAATCAAGGTTAAAGGAGGCTGTTATTCCTCCCCAATTAATTATAGCAGACCTGTATGGTTGGAATAGGCTTACTCTTGCCTAGTGTGAGCGCGCCACACACACGCACGTACACGCGCACGCACGCACATACACACACACACAAACACACACTACTCTCAAACTGCGGGATAGATAGAGAGAGAGGGAGGAATGACAGTGACAGCATGAGCATTGCCAAATAGTAGCCCAAATTGTTTTATGAAAGACATCTTTGTGAGTCTGTGTTGTGGATCGTTGGCTCTAATGCTAGCCTTAACCTTGATTGAACTCAGTTGGCTCTGTTGAATTTTGAAGGTTGTTGATACCGAATGAGAATAGGGGGCTTAATAACTCTATCTATATGTACATATTACCTCAATTACCTCGACTAACCGGTGCCCCCGCATATTGACTCTGTGCCGGTACCCCCTGTATATAGCCTTAGCTATTCTTTCTTAAAACTGCATTGTTGGATAAGGGCTTGTAAGTAAGCATTTCACTTACCTGTTGTATTCGGCGCATGTGACAAATAACATTTGATTTGATTTAATTTTTAGACCGCAAAGTGTTTTTGATTTTGATATGGTATAATAGCCCATTGGTTTTGCCATAAACGTATTTCTTAATCCAGAGTGAATATTGATTGATATTGACTTTTATCACAATATCTACTTACTGTAGGCCTACATAGATTTACAGCAGAAAATATGATGTTGAAAAGCAGAGTTAAAGGAATATGGGAAGACTGGTAGATCACTTCAAGTTGTCTGCTGCTGAACTTGTCTGACTAAACCATCTGCTAGTCTAATTCTCAAAGAGGGGTTGAGGAGAGAGAGACGTGTGGGTGTGTGCGCACGTGCGTGTGTGTTTGTGTGTGTGTGTGAGGAGCTGTTGGATGACCCCACAGGTAGACGATAAGGTCCCACTTGACGTCAAAACCCCCTTTTAGATCTAAAATCCATTAACGTGAACTGGATGCTGCCTGCAAATGAAATAGAGGCAAGTTTATTTGTGAACGTGAATTGTGTTGCTACAACATAGCTTGCCTACGGAGCTGTGAGGGGAACGGCACCTCCGTACCTTCAGGCTCTGATCAGTCCCTACACCCAAATGAGGGCATTGCGTTCATCCACCTCTGGCCTGCTGGCTCCCCTACCTCTGCGGAAGCACAGTTCCCGCTCAGCCCAGTCAAAACTGTTCGCTGCTCTGGCACCCCAATGGTGGAACAAGCTCCCTCACGACGCCAGGACAGCGGAGTCACTCACCACCTTCCGGAGACATTTGAAACCCCACCTCTTTAAGGAATACCTGGGATAGGATAAAGTAATCCTTCTACCCCCCCCCCCCCCCCCCCCCCCCCAAAAAAAAAAATTTATAATAAAAAAATAAAAAACATTGTAAAGTGGTTATCCCACTGGCTATAAGCTGAATGCACCACTTTGTAAGTCGCTCTGGATAAGAGCGTCTGCTAAATGACGTAAATGTAAATAGCTTGAATGTATTTCTATGCGTACTTCCGAATGGTTAAATACCGTATTTTCTGCTCTCTCGATATTAAGAGAAAGCAGTCTCACTTCACCCATGTTCTCATCCTTATCACATGCCCTTCAAATCAATGTATTGTATTTGATGTTTGACATGTATTAATTGCCTAACTAATGTCCACCAAGCTACTAATCCACCACCTATTGTATATTGACCTCCAGACAATTAACTTACTGACAAAGCACACAAGTCTATCACAGTGCCATCCGTTTTGTCACCAAAGCCCCATATACTACCCACCATTGTGACCTGTACGCTCTCGTTGGCTGGCCCTCACTACATATTCGTCGCCAATCCCACTGGCTCCAGGTCATCTATAAATCTCTGCTAGGCAAATCCCCGCCTTATCTTAGCTCATTGGTCACCATAGCAACACCCACCTGTAGTATGCGCTCCAGCAGGTATATCTCACTGGTCATCCCCAAAGCCAACACCTCCTTTGGCCGCCATTCCTTCCAGTTCTCTGCTGCTAATGACTGGAACGAACTGCAAAAATCTCTGAAGCTGGAGACTCCTATCTCCCTCACTAACTTTAAGCATCAGTTGTCAGAGCAGCTTACCGATCACTAGCATCAGTTGTCAGAGCAGCTTACCGATCTCGTACACAGCCCATCTGTAATTAGCCCACCCAACTACCTCATCCCCATATTGTTATTTGTTTTGCTCATTTGCACCCCAGTATCTCTATTTGCACATCATCTTCGGCACATCTATCACTCCAGTGTTAATACTAAATTGTAATTATTTTGCACTATGGCCTATTTATTGCCTTACCTCCATAACTTACTACATTTGCACACACTGTATATAGATTTTCTATTGTGTTATTGACTGTATGTTTTGTTTATCCCATGTGTAACTCTGTGTTGTTGTTGTTTTTATCGCACTGCTTTGCTTTATCTTGGCCAGGTCGCAGTTGTAAATGAGAACTGGTTCTCAACTGGCCTACCTGGTTAAATAAAGGTAAAAAAAAAAAAGAAAAAAGCATGAAGTAATAAAGACACTTGAATCATTCCGTGCATACATGCATATATCTCATTGATAAGACATATGGAAATGAGTGTGTAGTAGTGACCAGGAGCTTTCACAGCTTCTATACTAAAGACATTATGGAGATAGGAGGAGGGCAGCCTCTTTTAATCTCACCGTAGTAACAGTCCCCTGGCAACGGACCAGAGTGCCAATTATCACCAAAGTCCCCCAGGTTCTCCCATCTCACTCTGTGTATTAGTATCATCAGCAGCGCCGGGAAAGTTTAGAAGCTTCTCGCGTCAGGGGAAAACGCCATCGCTGACACAGTAAGTCATTGGGATGTGTTTAATTATTATTTTACCATGAAAGATTAGATTCCAAGATAGAGCTTCAGAGTACATTTGTGATTTCATTTTATTTATGTGTATTGTCCTTACAATGCTGTTTTTCATATTTGTGTTATCATGAGTCAGAATTGTGACAATATTTCATATGTGTTGATGGAGATAGATGGAAATGTTGCAGCAATTATGAGATGAAAGCAATTGATTGGTCATATTTGATCAGTGGTTTTAGTGTGCAGTTGAAAATTATAATGCAATACTGCTTTATAAGTGAAAAGATGTTCATGGTGCTTTTTTTTTATTGTTTTCTGGATTATAGATGAATTGCAACAGTAAAATCAGTAAATGTAATGATTTATCATTTCAAGTCTCAGTTCCAATTAAGTTGTTTATTGCAGTATTTCAATAGTGGCTCCTGTGCTGCAGTCTTAGCGTCTTCCTGTGTTTCCCAGGGCTCTGATCCTAGCCATATAGACTCCTCTGCAGGAGGACGGGGGCTCCAAACCTTCCTCCTGCTGGATTAGTGAGAGCGAGAGAGAGAACAAGAGAGAGAGAGAGAGAGAGAGAGAGAGAGAGAGAGAGAAACATAGAGGAATCAGCATGGGTTCCAGCTCCTCTTCCTATGCCCCCAAAACCATCTATCTGGACGTGGATGGCAAGGTTCAGAAGGTGGGTCCACCTCTATGAGGTTTATATTGTCTCTTTCCCCCCCCCCCCATTTTTTTATTGTATTTGTATTCTTGAATTCTATCTGATATTATTATCCGGATCAGCTGAGTTAACAGATTGCGCCGTCAGCTATTTTCTCTACCGTAGCTAGTCAGCGTACTTGAAATCAAATAGTGAACGCCAAGAATGAATGTTTGATTACCTATCCATGAGTTCCATCCGTTTTCATTAGCAAATATCCTGGTTGACCACAAAATGAGAGCCACAGACACAGGAACCGTGCTCTTCTCTTCTTCTTCTCTTCTGTGTGAGAGGAGATGCCCTCTGAGCTAGTCAGTGGGAGCTCTGGGGTCACTCCCGTATCAGAGTTAGACTCTTATCATAGACAGCATCCAAATGATCTTGTGTGATTACATCTCTTCAATCATTGAGGTCCCTGGCTGCAATGAGGGAGTCAACCAATAGACAGACAGATGGTGAAATGGTGTCATTTTTCTACTAATTTTAGGCTACAGTATGGTTTGACTACTGTATGAATCAGGTGACCAAACCAAAAGCTTGCCAAAGTCATATAATCTCTACAGGTGGCTAATGATATTGACGCAATGTGGGTTCATTATGGCTCCACAACCACACACCTAATCTCATGCACCAGTCATTCTGTGCCCCTTGATGCCTATATGCTCTGTTTCATTTCCATATTCGTGGTGAATAAAAAAGTTGTGAATACTCCTCAAAACATGAGTCAGGTGAGAGGCCTCTGAGATAGCTGTGTTTTCAAGTTGTGGTAAAAATAGACCAAGAGGTGGTGTAACAGTGTGGTTCACAGGTGTTTGTGGCGTACTTTAAACAAACACAGACAGTGCCACCTGTTGCTAACATGTTCTATGCCTCCATTGTTTTCTACTCCCTCTGAGTCTGAGGAAAACTATAGATGGTCCTGTGTGGCTCAGTTGGTGAAAGCACGTTGCTTCCAAGGTTAAATTCCCGCAAGGATCACATACAGAAAACGTATGCACTCCCTGTACTGTAAGGAAAACCAGAATTGTGTGGTGGACTAATTCATTATCAAAGGGGGAAGAAACAGAACATGATATTTGTGAGGGTAGAAACATTACTAGCCTACCCAGTATGTTCTTGTTATCACAGCTCCCGGGCCATTGCACTGTAAGCATATAATGCAGACAGATAACACGCTGCTGCCACTCTCTGTTTATTATTTATGCATTGTCACTTTAACTCTACCCACATGTACATATTACCTCAATTACCTCGACTAACCTGTGCCCCTGCACATTGACTCTGTACCGGTACCCCCTGTATATAGCCTTGTTACTGTTATTTTACTATTGTTATTTTACTGCTGCTCTTTAATTATTTGTTATTTCTTTTTATTTACATTTTTTACTTTCTTACTTATCTATTTTTTACTTAACACTTATTTTTCTTAAAACTGCATTGTTGGTTAAGGGCTTGTAAGGAAGCATTTCACTGTAAGGTCTACACCTGTGGTATTCAACGCATGTGACAAATACAATTTGATTTGATTTGATTTGATATAGGCTACTGTGTCTCATATTTGCTCTCATCATATAAGCTTCAACATTGTGGTGTGAGGGTAGCCACTGACTCAGAAGATTGGGTGATCTCGCTCTCTGAGGCCGTTGTGAGTAAAGTCTTTAATCAGGTCAACACCCGCAAGGCCGCAGGGCCCGATGGTATTCCAGGGCACGTTCTCAGAGAATGCGCAGAACAGCTGGCAGGCATATTCATGGTCATTTTCAACCTCTCCTTGTCCCAGTCTGTAATCCCCACATGTTTTATGATGACCACCATCATCCCTGTTCCTAAGAACTCTAAGGCTTCATGCCACAATGACTACCGCCCTGTAGCACTCACTTCTGTAATCATGAAGTGCTTTGAGAGGCTGGTTATGGCACACATTAACTCCACCAACCCAGCCACCCTAGACCAACTCAAATTTGAATACCGCCCCAACAGATCCATAGACGACACAATCTCAATTGCACTCCACAATGCCCTCACCCACCTAGATACGTAAGAGGAATACCAATGTGAGAATGCTGTTCATTGACTACAGCTCAGCGTTCAACACCATTGTCCCCTCCAAGCTCGTCACCAAGCTTAGGACCCTGGGACTAAACACCTCCCTTTGCAACTGGATCCTGGACTTCCTGACGGGCCGACCCCAGGTGGTGAGGGTAGGCAACATCACCTCCCCCACGCTGACCCTTAACACAGGGGCCCACAGGGGTGTGTGCTTAGTCCCCTCCTGTACTCCCTGTTCAACCACAACTGCGTGGCCACACACGACTCCAACACCATCACCAAGTTTGCTGACGATGCGACAGTGGTAGGCCTGATCACTGGCGACGATGAGACAGCCTACAGAATGAAGGAGGGCATTGACCTGTTAGTGTGGGGCCGGAACAACAACCTCCCCCTCAACATCAGTAAGGAGCTGATTGTGGAAACGGGGGGGCAATCATCCACATCGATGGGGCTGCAGTGGAGCGGGTCGAGAGCTACAAGTTCCTCGGTGTCCACATCACTAAGAACTTAAAATGGCATGGGCCCTCAAATCCTCAAAAAGTTATACAGCTGTAGCATCGAGAGCATCTTGACTGGTTGCATCACTGCTTGGTATGGCAATAGTACTGCCCTTGATCGCATGGCGGTACAGAGGGTGGTGCGGACAGCCCAGTACATCATTGGGACCAAGCTCCCTGCCATCCAGGACCTCTATATCAGGCGGTGTGAAAGGAAGGCCCGGAATCTTTTTTTTCACCTTTATTTAACCACGTAAGCCAGTTGAGAACAAGTTCTCATTTACAACTGCGATCTGGCCAAGATAAAGCAAAGCAGTGCGATAAAAACAACAACACAGGTTACATATGGGGTAAAACAAAACATAAAGTCAAAAAAACTTGACCGATGTCGGTTAAATTACTTGAATTTCATTTCATTCTTTTTTTTGTGAGCTCAATGTGCACATAAATCATATGCCCGAACGGTGCTACGTAGTAGGGAGTTGTAGTTTCCAACAGGCCAATGTTGTACATAGTTTAGTGCAGAAAACTTGATAATTAACTACAATGACCATAATCCATTGCAGGTCTAAACTTGTCCAGTCTGTGTTTCTTTTACGCTTGCTATGTAGGAGAGGGGGTACATAGAGAGCAGCTTCTTCAAGAGGTATCTCTACCTGAAAATACATGATCTAAGTGATTGATAGTATTCAGCAGTCAAAAAAGTATGTTTTGTTTACTTTGAAGAACTACTAAAATAGTGATTTTATTCAGACAGCATAGGCAGCAGCTCTATAGAGATGAAATGATGACTTGGAAGGAAATAATGAAGTCATCAAGTAAAACAAATGTAATATACACAACAACTGAAATATTTTATTGAAGTAAAGTAATGTGAATAAATTATTGTTAATAAGTGATAAGCAGAAATGGGCAGTCACTACCATCATGGGACTAATTGTTTTATTCTGTGTTGTTACAGCATTCAACCCACATAATGCATAGTGCATGTAATGTTTAAAAAAAGTAATCTAAACCGAAATGGATTTTTTATATAATCGAACAGAAACCGAAACGACCTCAAAAAGCACTAATCGCTCAGCACTACTGTTCTTTTGCTTCCGCACGGTCTGACACCAACAACAGCTTCAATCCCATGCCATAAGACTGCTAAATAGCTTACTAAATAGCTGACAAAATGGCTCCTCAGACTATCTGAGTTGACCCTTGTATTTTATCCTTATTTTTGCACAGTCTCTATGCACACTCACAGGGCCCTACACACTTACCACACTGACACTCCAACACACACACACATACTAATTATACTGACTCCACACACATGCACACCCACTCACATACAATCATCATATACGCTGCTGCTACTCTGTTTATCATATATCATGATGACTAGTCACCTTACCCCTATACATTTCTACCTCTATCAATCCAGTATCTCTGCACATTGTAAATATGGTACTGGAACTGACTTACTTATGCTTACTTACTTTATCGTGTTCTTCTTATTTATTATTTTGTTCTACCTTGTTATTTTTAGCATTACATTGTTATTGATTACTGCATTGTTGGGGTTAGATCTTGCAAGAAAGGCATTTCACTGTACTTGTGCATTAAAACGTATTTTATAGAATGTTGCAAATTATACAACGTGTGGGTTTAATCCTGGATGCTGATTGGTTAAAACCCATTCCAGCTGGTGTCTATTGCAATGTTGCATTTGGTAGCATTTCAAATAGCAACTGCTTCTCCAATGGATATGGCCTCCAATTTCTTTGGCTCATTAAATCTTGAATGCATTCAGGGATAAAAATGGTCAATGCCTTCTGCATATTTAATCCACTTAGCACAAGTGAATCTACCAGATTTGGTTACCTTTGAACACCGACTAGCCTATGTATTCAAGTCTGCTTTGATTTTGGATACATAGGGCCAGGCACTTAGTAAACCCAGTATAGTTGTGATGACACAAACCCCTGTTGTTATGGTGGCATAGAGCTTTTTCAAGTAGAGACCTGAAAGTGACACATGGCCATTCAAGGGCTCGAGAGTTTGAGGGATTGTCTACTACACCTGCTTGTGTAAAAGGTCTTCGTGTTGTTGGAGGCTAGCCAACAACAAGCTTAGATACACTTTACTTGACAATGACTTTCAGACAGACACAGTATACAACGAATATGTGTGCCATCAGCATACCACTATATACAGTGGGGAGAACAAGTATTTGATACACTGCCGATTTTGCAGGTTTTCCTACTTACAAAGCATGTAGAGGTTTGTAATTTTTATCATAGGTACACTTCAACTGTGAGAGACGGAATCTAAAACAAAAATCCAGAAAATCACATTGTATGATTTTTAAGTAATTAATTTGCATTTTATTGCATGACATAAGTATTTGATACATCAGAAAAAAAGAACTTAATATTTGGTACAGAAACCTTTGTTTGCAATTACAGAGATCATACGTTTCCTGTAGGTCTTGACCAGGTTTGCACACACTGCAGCAGGGATTTTGGCCCACTCCTCCATACAGACCTTCTCCAGATCCTTCAGGTTTGGGGGCTGTCGCTGGGCAAGACAGACTTTCAGCTCCCTCCAAAGATGTTCTATTGGGTTCAGGTCTGGAGACTGGCTAGGCCACTCCAGGACCTTGAGATGCTTCTTACGAAGCCACTCCTTAGTTGCCCTGGCTGTGTGTTTCGGGTCGTTGTCATGCTGGAAGACCCAGCCACGACCCATCTTCAATGCTCTTACTGAGGGAAGGAGGTTGTTGGCCAAGATCTCGCGATACATGGCCCCATCCATCCTCCCCTCAATACGGTGCAGTTGTCCTGTCCCCTTTGCAGAAAAGCATCCCCAAAGAATGATGTTCTTGGGGTTGTACTCATCCTTCTTCTTCTTCCTAACACGGCGAGTGGAGTTTAGACCAAAAAGCTATATTTTTGTCTCATCAGACCACATGACCTTCTCCCATTCCTCCTCTGGATCATCCAGATGGTCATTGGCAAACTTCAGACAGGCCTGGACATGCGCTGGCTTGAGCAGGGGGACCTTGCGTGCGCTGCAGGATTTTAATCCATGACGGCGTAGTGTGTTACTAATGGTTTTCTTTGAGACTGTGGTCCCAGCTCTCTTCAGGTCATTGACCAGGTCCTGCCGTGTAGTTCTGGGCTGATCCCTCACCTTCCTCATGATCATTGATGCCCCACGAGGTGAGATCTTGCATGGAGCCCCAGACCGAGGGTGATTGACCGTCATCTTGAACTTCTTCCATTTTCTAATAATTGCGCCAACAGTTGTTGCCTTCTCACCAAGCTGCTTGCCTATTGTCCTGTAGCCCATCCCAGCCTTGTGCAGGTCTACAATTGTATCCCTGATGTCCTTACACAGCTCTCTGGTCTTGGCCATTGTGCAGAGGTTGGAGTCTGTTTGATTGAGTGTGTGGACAGGTGTCTTTTATGCAGGTAATGAGTTCAAACAGGTGCAGTTAATACAGGTAATGAGTGGAGAACAGGAGGGCTTCTTAAAGAAAAACTAACAGGTCTGTGAGAGCCGGAATTCTTACTGGTTGGTAGGTGATCAAATACTTATGTCATGCAATAAAATGCAAATTAATTACTTAAAAATCATACAATGTGATTTTCCGTCTCTCACAGTAGAAGTGTACCTATGATAAAAATTACAGACCTCTACATGCTTGTAAGTAGGAAAACCTGAAAAATCGGCAGTGTATCAAATACTTGTTCTCCCCACTGTAACTGACATTGTATAATCTGTTTTGGCATTTCTGTGTATATTGCTGTGATTTACAGAGAATGATACAAACTCTCTCACTGGGTTGATGACGCAAGAATTTGTTGCTAGTATGTTGTTAGAGTGTCGTATTATCTGCGAGATTGGGTTGGTCCCTGACAAGGGTAGGCTACAATGTGTTTAGTTCAAACATATTTTCAACTGCATGCCTTTGTGATTTAGTCCTCAACATTTTAACTCTCAACATACAGGGCTCACTTGAAAAAGAGATGTGAATCTTGATGTGACTTCCCCGTTTAAATAAAGGGTAAATAACATTTAAAAAATATAATTGTTTTCTTCCCCCACTCTTTCCACTTTGGACACTGCAGCCTTTTCTTTTACAACAGACTCAGGTCTCACAGAGAGCTGATTGTTTTCAGATGGCTTGAGATGCATAGGGAGACACAGACGACACTCACCATGCGTCTGCCTTTTTTCAGGTGGTTTTCAGTCGGCACTGCAGCCCATGTGACATCAAGGAGCTTCTTTGTTCCTCATCCAACATCCCCAGGTCAGTGACATTTCAGCTGCAGCCATCACCTTCTCTCGTCTCTCTCACCACTCCCTCACAGTCACACGTCAGTCTAAAGTATGCATTACACACAACACATTTGTTTCAAGTTCACTACAAACTTATCGACCCCCTATCCTGACAGAGCTTCATGAATGATAAGTAAACTACAAGTAAACACCAAATGACAAGCTTAGCGTGTGTTTTAGAGCATATTAAGAAGAAATGGAGGTTGCATTCTTAATGGAACACTATATAGAGCACTAATGTTGTGACCTTGTCAAAAGTAGTGCAGTTTGGGAATAGGGTGCTATTTGGAATGCATCCTTATTATTTATTATTGTTGCTCCCCCTCCATAGGAATACTGCCATCATGATGGTGGATCCTGAAGGGGCCCTGGTGTCCATAGACCCGACTATGCCTACCAACTCTCCCAAGTAACACGTCACCTTTACCCTAATCGCCTAATCTCAATGATACAGTATATTTATTGATCTCAGTCGTAGAAAAGCCTTCCTGACCGTTGTTAATCCAAAGACTACATAGCCTTTATACTCTGAGTAAAAATACTTTTCAAATGTGATGTAAACTATGACTTGATGAATGATGTTAGAATGTCACTGACATGTTTTACAGCTCCTTGTACAAAGTCATTTCTTTGTCCACCGGTCAGCTAGGAGGTGAAGTACCAAAGTGATATTTCAAATTCAGCAACACTTTTTAACCTTTGACCTTTTAGTCCTTAATTAATTCTTACTCACATAACTCACATAAAGCTATGACAACAAAACTTAAAAACAATGTAAAAACAATGTTAAAACAGATCTGGGTACTAAACATTTCTTCATGTTTACCGGTAGCTTTTTGATCACAAGAGTGATTTATTTCTTGCTTGTTTGCGCCCACAGATAAAGAAGACATGTTTCAAAACGTGTTATCTCAGGTGGCAGAGCAGTTCAGCAGGTAATTGGTGTGTTTATGTTCCACTGCAGACAGAAGTTTTCCACTTTAGTCTTTTTCCCTTTCCACAGAAATACCTCCATGACACCAGGACCTTTCAAACAAACCCCTTTCACATATTTTTGCAGGGCTTTCCGAATCAACGAGCTGAAAACTGAGGTGACCAACAGACTGGCCATGTTGGAGAAAAGAGTGGAGTGTATGTGCAGGGTTTATTCTTTAACTTTCGATGTGTGTTTCTCTCTTTGTGTGTGTGTGTGTGTGTGTGTGTGTGTGTGTTTCACTGTTACTGAATTCACACCTTTATGTACTAACAGTCATGTTGTTGTTACAGTGGAGGGACTGAAGGTTGTGGAGATTGAGAAGTGCAAAAATGACCTAAAGAAACTACGAGATGAGATGACATCCAGAGGAGGAGGGAGGTACGATGACCTTTGACATAAATTACACTCATCAAGCCATGCTCCAGAGTTCTTAGGATATTCTATAGTAAGACTTTTATGATGGTTTTAAAATGTTGTTGTGATTCAGATAAATCATACAGCTAGTAGATTGATGATACAAATATGATGTATTTGCTCGCATCTCTTCAGAGTTGGGAACTGTCCCTGCAAATACAACTTCTCAGACGACGGGAAGAAGCTTAATCCCAGACGTGACGTCCCAAGTTATCCAAAGGTACGGAATTAGGAGATTCTAGTAATATACAGTAGGCTACATGTTTTTTTCTGAATCATATCTAAAGATATTCATCACTTTTACATAATTAATCCTAAAACTGACGCAGTGCCTTCTCTCTCATTTCTACAGTACACCTTATCCCAGGAGACTATTGAAGCACTGAAGAAGCCAACATTCGATGTCTGGCATTGGGAACACAATGAGGTTAGTTCTCTTGAGATTCAGATCTAATATATATTATATTTCCAACCAGAACTTTATAATCACATTTTTGTAGTAAAACATTTTGAAGTATTTTCTCGAATTGTGAACTTAAAGGAATACTACACTCAAAAACGATATTTTGGTATTTTGTTCATTAGTCCAATCCCAAATGTTTTTGCATGGCAGCAATCAAGTTTAAGATAGAGCACTTGTTGTGCCTTATGATGATGTGTGTAGTATTCCTTTAACTGTGTCTTTGATCGGTGGTTTAGATGCTAAGCTGCTTGGAGTATATGTATCACGACCTGGGACTGGTGAAGGAATTCAACATGAACCCCATCACTCTCAAACGCTGGCTGGTAAAAGTATAACTGTAGAAAAGCAATTACCTCCATATGCAAGTGATATGCAACTGATATGGAACAACAACTTCAAAAGAAGAGAACCAAAGAGTATTGATGACTAGGATAGTTTGATTGACAGCTTTCTTTCTCACAGCTGGGCATTCAGGAGAACTATCGCAGCAACCCGTTCCACAACTTCCGCCACTGCTTCTGTGTCAGTCAGATGATGTATGGCATGATTAACCTGTGTAACCTGCCGGTAAGAAACGACTGTACTAATATAATATAATACATGCCATTTACCAGACACAAATGGTCTATAACTAGGGTCCAGAGTTTTTTCCTGGTCAGGTCAGGTGGTCAGGAAAATCTCCTGGCACCTTGTATTAGAGATTTATAGTAGACTAACATGTGCTATGTGTGTTCCTCAGGAGAAGATGACTCTGACGGACATGGGCATTCTCATGACAGCTGCAGTGTGCCACGACCTGGACCACCCCGGGTACAACAACACGTAAGCGCCCAAAGGTTCCTACTCTGCGCCTCAGTTCCCCCTGCTCTATAGCCTTGACTAGATCTCTGAATAGATGTTGATGATAGACACAATACTGAGGTGTTCATTCACAAAGAGATCTTTTGGAACTTCTTCAATTATGTTATTACATTGTGGAAATGGTCCAATGTATGCTTCCAGGTTTGATGTAAGGTCAGAAGTTCCTTCCTAACCATGTGACATGACCAGGGTAAAACTCTGGGCCCTAGTGATTATAGGCTTCCCTGGTCAGGACATGTTGTCAAGGAACGCTCCTGGTTTTAGGCATAAATCAAACTGTCACAGAGGTGTATTTTGCTCGTCAGGTACCAGATCAACGCTCGCACAGAGCTGGCCGTGCGTTACAACGATATATCTCCCCTGGAGAACCATCACTGCGCCGTGGCCTTCCAGATCCTCTCGCTGCCCGAGTGCAACATATTCGCCAATGTCGAATTGGAGGCCTACAAGCAGATCAGACAGGTAGGTGGTGTCCTAGGCTAATGCACAGTGATTCTTCTGCATCCCAAATGGCATAGTGCACCACTATTGACAGAAGTAGTGCACTATATAGGGAATAGGGTGCCATTTGGGATGCGGCCTTTGTCTTTTTGCATTTCCTTCTCTCCAACTAACCAGGAGATGTTTTGAGTTGGCCTAAGGCAGGATGATTCCATCTCCCTTTACAGGCCATCATTACCCTGATCTTGGCCACAGACATGGCCCGGCATGGAGAAATATTAGACTCCTTCAAACATAAAGTGGACAGCTTTGACTTCACCAACGAGGAGCACGTCACATGCGTACGTATCGTACATCACATGACATCAACTGTCTATGAATACTGTATATCAAGGGGTGCCAAATAGGCATAACTTTGTTCAGGTATAGCCTCAGCACTTCAGCAAACAACAAAAGGTAGGAGGGGTGGTCAATAACAAAGACAGGGATGGAAAAATAGGGCATACCCAAGAAAGACTTTGAATAGGGGACTGGAGATATCACGTGATTGTAATGGAGTTAAGATCGTACTGTAAGCTCACTCCACAGCTATCTTGAAATGCCGCCAATGGAGCTATCGAATTAGATCTTTTTCGATAGCTCAAGCGGTTGGTACGTTGTCAAGGAGGGGGTCACGTGGGTCTGCGAGCAGAGGATCACTGGTTCAAGCCCGATATGGGGACATGGACGGTGGAGGAAGCTAAACTGTTAGCAGCACACTGATGTCCGTTTCATGATGTCAGTCCTGTCCATCCTATGGAATAAAGCCAGAGGGTTCGAAGATAAAGTGCCTGTGTTAATCTTAAGTGCTCCAAAGCCTTTTACCACAAAAAGTCTAGCCAATGATAAAAACTATGGTTGTGTTGACATAATGCATGGTGAAAAGGTCTCTTTATGCCTTGTCCGTATGTGTGCAGCTGAAGATGGTTTTGATCAAATGCTGTGACATCTCCAACGAGGTTCGGCCTACGGAGGTGGCTGAACCCTGGGTGGACTGTCTGCTGGAGGAGTATTTCATGCAGGTGATCTCAATCAAGTCTAATCATGTCTAAGAATAATAATGTATAATAATGTATAATTATAAAGTCTAATAATAATGAGTCTAGTAATGTGTTGATTGGAAGTATGGGGTGAAAACAGGCTCAGCTGTCACTCTTGAAGTTGCGCATGCTTTTATTAGAAGGGTAAAAATAATGTATGTTTTAGCCATCTTGGCCTTCATCAGAATGAGTCTATTAATTAGAATGATGTCATTAAAGAGTGGAGTGACATGTTCAAACCCTCCTGTCTCGGGAATGGACAGAGTGACAGGGAGAAGACTGAAGGGCTGCCGGTGGCTCCGTTCATGGACAGAGACAAAGTGACCAAGCCCACTGCCCAGATCGGATTCATCAAGTTTGTCCTCATCCCAATGTTTGAGACAGTCATGAAGGTAGGCGTGTGTGTTTGAACTACAAAGCAATGTCACAATATTAGATTTACATAGTGTGTAAGTATGTGTGTGTCGGTGTTGGTGTTTGTGCACATGAGCGTGTGCGCATCTGTACCCGTCTGCGAGTGTTTGCGTGTGCTTCTGTTTGAACACATCTCTTATATTTCATGACCTCTTGAAAACAATTCCATATTGACTAGAAAAGGCTGCTGTCCTGAATACCTACCCACCATCCTCCCCTGTGTGTGTTGCAGCTCTTCCCCCAGATTGAGGAGATCATGGTGCAGCCTCTGAGAGACTCTAGAGACCACTATGAGGAGCTGAAGCAGATCGATGACGCCATGACAGAGGTAGGACATCTGTTCTCACTTAATGTTACACTGTCCTTCAGGGTTGGGGTGAATTCCATTTGAATTCCAGTCAACTCAGAAAGTAAACCAAATTCCAATTCCAATTCCCAATTTTCCTAATTGAAAAAACATTGGAATTTGTTATTACTCACGATCAACCAGGGTATTTGTATCGGTGGTGGGGTGGGATTACATGTCCATGTCCAACCACTTTCTAACATAAAAGTGTGTCTTTTGTTCAATGAGGCGCAGAAGAAAAAAACAGAAAATATGTCATTAGGAGGGAAGAAGAAGTAAGCTTTGCTGCTGCTACGAGTGCAGTGGTGCTGTGTAAGTAACTGACTCTGATTGGCCTGTAGTGTTAGCCCTGAGTGCCCTCTCTCTTCTGCCTCTCTCTAGTCTGCCGACAACAACACTGCTGCAAGCTAGTGAGCTAGCTATAGTAGGAGCACAAGGCTTTTTTTTTTACTACGACCGCACAATATTTTCATCACTCTGAATTTGCTTTCGAAAAAAGAACTGAATTCACAAAAAGAAACAGCTCAACTCTACCGCATTACAAATTTTTGTTTTCACAAAAAGAACAACAGACTCTGTTGAGTATTTGGAACCACTAGCAAGATGAGGCTCTTCCATTGAAGATGAGGTTTATAGTTGAAGTATTCAGTTCGATAGTATTCCCCTCCAATTTGCACCAATCAGTCCTGGCCCTTGGGAGGGAGGGCACTCACCTCAACACCAAAAACGAAGCTGGTCAATTACATAGACCTGCAGCCCAGTGGCAAAAGCAAAGTGGTGAAAACGTTGTGCTGTCTAAACGTCATCAATGTGGGTCGTTGGATTCTTTACAACCTCATTGATAACGTTTTGACGACCAGATACTGTCTTCCCCGTCTATGATTTTACAGTTTTTCTTTCCCTTTGCTGTGTGTGGTATTGCAAGTTCATAGTGTGCAGGATTTTCCACAGCGAAGAGCATTGTGAAGGATATGGATACTGATGGAGCCAAATCACAATCAAGAATGCTTTGTCCTACTCAAAGCACTGTGTGTGTGTGTGTGTGTGTGTAGGTGTGTAGGTGTGTGTGTGTAGGTGTGTAGGTGTGTGTGTGTAGGTGTGTAGGTGTGTGTGTGTGTAGGCATGTGTGCGTGAGGGTGTGTGTGTGCGTGGGGGTGTGCATGTGTGTGTGCCACTTAATCAGAATCCTCTCTTTGGAGAATCCCATCTGATATCCTGAAGTGCTTGTTTCATTTTAGGGCTCTGGCTCTCGTTTTATGATCCAAAAATTCAAAAAGGTCATGGGTCGTCCTGATCTGCGTCTTTGAAGACAAGATGGAGGGTGAAAAGACTTGTCTTCTACACACTGAACCAACCTTAGACTACATGAAACCTCCTGGTTGATCTCCACTGTTTTGTTATGGACATTACAGAAGGACAATGGCTCTGTTTCAATGTCCACACTAGCATACTACTTAGGAGGAATTAATGTACCAGGCACATTGGAATATAGCTAATCTGAAAGCTAATTGGTCATTGCAGGTATCAATGGCTGTGTTTACACAGGCAGCCCAATTCTGATCTTTTTGCCCAATTATTGGCAAAATATCTGATCTGATTGGTCAAAATACCAATATTTGGGCAGAATATCATAATTGGTCTGTCTATGTATATGCAGCCTATCATAATTTCTGAGTGACAATTGGTCATTGTAGGTATTAACATGCCATATTTTCTGCTTTCTGTTTTTAGTCACACTTGTTGATGTTGATATTACGGTATAATGAATAACAACTAAGTTGTTTACTAGAACATTCACGTTTCCTTTTTCAATTCTCCTATTCAAATGCAAAACTGTTTCTGAAACAGTTTGAATAAATTGACTCTTAATTTAACCATGTCAAGTACACAGCATATTTTAACATAATTAACATAATTCTTATTATGAGTTTAAACAAATTCAACTAATTATCCCGTAGTGTGTGCACTGAATGAATTTACATAAATTCATATTTTGAGGTTTGTGTAATAGCACATCTATTGTTGTGCAATATATTCAGTCTTAGATACATGTTGTAAGTTATTACAAAAGTATTTAAATACAATCTAAAATGTTATTCTTGTATTCTATTTATTTTTGCATAGTACATCCTACATAAACTGTGCAAAATACAGCACAGTTGTAAAACATATAACATCCTTTTATACTAAATGTGTCACCTGGTAATAAACTCCACCAGTATTTTGGAAAGTTGCAGGTTATTAAGAAGAAATCAATATGTACAGTAGTATCTGATTTTCATCTCAGAAAGTAATTCTCATCGAAGGTTCATGAGTCATGCCATTGACCCTTCTCCGATTGGTGCAGCCATGAATGAACCAATGGGAGGTCAAGCTCGGGAGTCTTTGAAAGCTTGTGTACTTTACTTGATATCTGTATTCTATTGTGTATGCTTTATGCACAATATGGATGTCCCATGCTTACGCTTGGATTTCCTGCTCATTGTCGTTTAGGAAGCGTAGTAGTCTGTAGCTTCAGGCTTTGAGGGGGTATGTGTTGAAACAAGACTTCTTTGCCAGTTTTGTTGTACAACCCCAAGCTACCACTTAACCCACATCTCTCTATAGTGTCCCTCCACAAAAATAAGTGGGTGGTATTCAACAGCTACAGTAGATTTTCTATTGCCAGTTTTATAACCTTTGTTTATTGCAACCTGTTTCACATTTCCAAGAGTGATAATTGTCCATCTGTAAGACGTTACTTACATATGATTACACTTTTTATGACCTACATGATTCTGATGACATTTGGATGATAAAGTAATTTATATGGCCCAGAAGAATCCAAAGAGATAGGATGTAAATACTGACTTTAATGTTTTTAGCAGGTCTGCTGCTAGATACTAATGACTTTTGGAAAATTCCAGAGGGACAAACAGGGATGAAAATAACTTTCTTCTGTACGTTTTCTTTGCTAGTTGGCTTCACGTATAAGACCTTTTCACCTCTTTTCTGCTTCTGTTTGATGGGGTTGAACTTAGGTCCTGAGTATAGCCTAGTCATTTTGTTTAGAGGGAACTATCTCTATACTCCATGTTGCATGAAAGTAACCACTAGTCCTTGCTTACTCACTCTCCCCCCAACATTGTATCTTTCTGATAAATTATACTTTGCGTGTAAACTATTTGTTTTAGTTCTTTGTTTGATTCTCACTGCAGTATCATTTTGCCCTTTTCTCTCATTTCAATTACTCATAAACACCCCTTAGACATGTCCTACTCTGTTGATGATGCAGCAGCAAGAGACTGAGATGACTCCCAAGACAATTATAACCTTTTTCATCACTCAAGTTTCTTCAAAGAAAGGACAACTCTCAGTTGACACTAAGAGACACGTCTGAAGCCTTTGAATGAGAGTAATCACCCCCCAGCCCCCTCTCCCTCTCTCCCTCCCTCCTTCGCGCTACTCTCACTTGCGTGCAAGACATCAAGACACACAGTATTTACATTAACCAGAAGGAATGCTTTAATTAGCTATGACATACTCTTATCACGAAGGAGATGTTGTTGCTTTGCCAAGCAGAGCTAAAGGGACATATTGATTTAGTTTAATATACTGTATGCACCCTTTAAATACCTTGTATCAGATTACCTAATAAATGTCATCAACAATGTGTATTTCACTGCTACCTTTTATTACTATTACAAGGGGATGAAGATGTACAGTAGACATTGAAGACAGAAAATGTCACCACAGCTTTTGGATATTGTGATTCTTTTCCCTGAACTGATAAAGACCATTGGACACAACTAATTCGTTTTTTGTCTTAAACTGACAGATTTCTATGTTTTTTTATGTATTATGCTAATGAGATTGCCGCGGAGACGCGGACATCGACTATAGGGGGTTAATTCATGCCATTTATTTTCTTTAGCACTTCTAACACCCATTCAATTGAACAACAACCCATTACTGAAGTTGTTTTTATGAACGCAATTTTAATTAAATAATTGATAACTAAAAAGTAATCAATCTATTATAAGTGCCTTGGGCAAGTGTCACATCTTATATTCTCTTGCCAAAGGGCTTTAAAGGTATTTTTGTGGATCTAAAAAAGGGTAACTACTGTATCACTTTCAAAGAAACCTTGACATTCTGTGGTAAAAACAACAAGACCTTCCAAAGGTTTTCCAAAAAGTTTCATTCTAACATGCTAATGTTACCGATCTGAAATGGCTAGCTAGTTAGCGGTGCGCGCTAGTAGCATTTCAATCGGTGATGTCACTTGCTTTGAGACCTTGAAGTAGTTGTTTCCCTTGCTCTGCAAGGGCTTCAGGGTTTTGTGGAGCGATAGGTAATGATGCTTTGAGGTGACTGTTGTCACTATGTTCAGAGAGTCCCTGGTTCAAGCCCAGGTTGGGGCGAGGAGAGGGAAGGAAGCAAAACTGTTACACTAGGTAAGACCAGAAGTCTGAGGTTTCACATTAAACCTGTTAGAACTTGATAAGTAGACCTGGTGCATCTATGTTGTCATACAGGCAGAGGTGTCATACACCCTAAACATCTGAGTGGGCACAAAGTATTGGGGGTGGTCCGGAGGGGGCTAGGCCCCCTGTATGTAAGTCGGAGGAT